TGAGTAGAGCTTTCTCAGTAGGGCTATTTGAGACGCTTGGTGATATGGGAGCATTTTGCGAGGTGCAAGGGAAGGATGACCAGCCGCAACCCGAGACACTGAGGCTTGGTTTTGCTCAACTTTGTAGACTCGTTTTACATGACTAAGACGATGGGAATGAGGCGAATAAAGTCACCATAACAGTGAACCGGAGATCATGTGTTTTAATTCCACAACCATCTCCACTTTTCTTAATAATGCTTAAAAACCAGGCCACAACGGAGCCACCACGGTCTTCAGTCTGAAAATTGACAAGCAATGTACATTCAATATTAAAAAGAGAGTGAGAGGACACTTTACCACTGTAACGTTATTCCTCTCACTCTAACCGCGTGTTTGTATAACGAAAGTAGTAAAACTCAAAACCAATGCCATAAAAAAGTAAACCAATTTGGACAGAAAATAACTCGAATTCTCAGAAATGGTGAAAGGACCCATACCAGTTTTTCTCCCCAAATGCATTCGAGAGACACATACCCAAAGGAAGGCCATGCGGATCGGTGCCACGAAGAAATTCCCGAATCAGACCGCGCAATTGTTCGGACAATTTGTTTGAATCCGCACCACTGTTAATCCGTTTATCCGGAGCCTCGCTGATCGTTTGGCTGACATTGTCGTAATACTGGCCAGCACGTCGAATACAACATGCGAGCAGGTGAAACTTTAATGCCAACGCTTCATGGGTCTGATGTGGAGTGAAGTATTTGGCCATTAAATCTTCCAGTACACTGACCACAGTAGACCAACATAACAGGATGCATTGTTCCGTGCATGTGGAATGTTTGATCAAGTCCGTTCCAAGGACGAGAAAAATCTATACAGAATGGCAATACATATATAACGGTGGTCACATATCTGGGTGTCATAGGCCACACTTCCTTTATGATGAGCATCAGAAAAAAGTCAACCAATAACCATCTCATTCAGCAAGACGATGATCCTAAGGTATTTCCAGAAAGATACCAGAAGGATTCAAGCAATTTGATCTGTATGAGCAGGACAAAAGTTATCCAATCGGCCGAATAAACGGAAGGCATATGATAAATGCCATCTGATAACGAACAATAGCTGCCAATGATGAAAAGTAATAGACAGCCCCATCAGAGTGCATCTTACCGTGGTGAGATGGGTCACATTGTTCTGACTTGTGCTTCGAAATATGGCTTGGGCAGAGAGAAAAATAAGACTTCAATCTGCCAAACAACCATTGGAACAATTGAAATTGCCTTAGAAGTTCTTTCGGTGGATTCCGGTGAATTCTAAGGAAAACTTGTCGAAGCAATCAGCTTACATGCCGGAAACCTCTGTAAGTTGGATGGTTAATTCGAGTGTGAATAGATCAGTGATAAGGCTGTGACCTCGCAGCTCAGCTAAGAGAGCGTGTGCAGTACAAAAGCGAAGGTGGCGTGGGTTCGAATCCCACCAAGGCTACTGGACTATTCACAATTTCAACATGAAACAGTAAATTCATTGATACCTGCCTGATACATTATGTGGCAGAAACCAAACCAGAAGTTTGGTATTACCAAACAGACCACAAGAGTGAGTCAAAGCTATAAATTGGATCATCTAAACACGGTCCTAGATAAGTTGCTCGATAGAGGCAGCACTGAAAATCTCCGCAGATTGAATTCAGGAACAAAAAATCTGCTATTCCCCGTGGAAAGACGTCGGGCAGCAGCTAACGAAATTGGGTCGACAGTCCCTATTTTGACGTGGACTACAGCGTAGTATGCAGTGCCCTAAAGTTTCACTGATCTGTGTATAGGCCTTTCAAGTTGAGTTCATCTCAAGTCCGTTCGCACAAGGCGATCCATTTTGGAAAAAAATAAAAATTTTACAACTCTGATGATGATTACACAAAATTCGTTCGATTCACCACATTCAACGTCCGAAGTCGCTAACAGATTGCGTAGCGGGTTACCACAGTGAGGACTTGAAACTGTGGATATTTGGATGGTGGCAGTGTAGTGGTTTAGTCGCTGTCACCGATGTGCTCCGAAACTATGGTCCGAGCTCCGCCACTGCCGCCCAACTTCGGTAACAGGCAGCTTTGTTGTCGGCCGGTTCAATACCACGCATAACCTGGCAGGGCCTTGCGTGGTTCGCTACTGCAAGTCCCGCGGAGCTGAGGTGACCGGTCTTCGTGACTCTTGGGGTTCGCAGCGTCTGCTATTCATCACACTAAGGTTTGTAAAAAATATTGGTATATAGAATTGTTCTAACACACATTCCCGATAACAACTGCGTTTCTTATAGACTGTTAATCTTTTGTATCCAAAGTACGTGCAAACTCGCAAGATGCAAATCTAGTATACTTGCTCGTGGGAAGGAAATCCAAACGAACTAATGTGATCGACACAAACAATACACAGTATTACGGTAGACACACACAGTCCAAACTTAAAAAGGACAAGTAGTAAGTTGCTCCTTTGCAATCAGTTTCATGGTATTAACTCTCCCTTCAAAAGAAAACCGGTTAAATAATTTTACGAAGTTCAATTTGAAAGACCAGAGTCGCACGCTGTTTCACTTCCATACCTCATTTTTACGCGCTGGTTGATGATCTTCCCACGGATTGCAAGTGTATGTATTTTTCACACACATCTGAGTCCAGACTGTGTCAAACAAAGCATAGGACAATAATCTGTATAGAAAAAGAAGAGAGTTCCATGATTTGTTTGTGGGCGGGATATTGCCCGGTTTCCCAGGCTAAGGAAGGTGAATCTTGTTGAAAAATTCACAACCGGGGAGCCTTCGGCTAGCCAAAGCCTGACTCGCAAAGCAGTGGGTCGGTGTACAGTTCATCGGATCACACGCCCTCCAGACGGGGTCAGGCAGCCAAGGTGCCCAATACACCTCAACCGAGCCAGTGACCATTGCCACAACCAGGAAGGGATATGTGTGGTTCATACGACTCTTCTTGGCTGGTTTGGAATCAGTATTTAACCAACTTCCCTAGGTTAACTGTCAGGGGTTCATCGACCCGGCTATAGCCCGATAGTCGGTTTTTCGGGATCTCACTTTGGTGGCGGAAAACACCTCCACCACGAGAAGACGACAACTGCCGCAGCGGGCGTTGTACCTCACAAAGTCAGCTTACTGTGGCACCAAAGACACACACACTAACCTCACTTGTTTTATCCAACTTATTCCAAACTGCGTAGAAAACAGTGCTCAAAAACCTCGAATAAACGGACATCTTCAACCGTAGTCCAGAATGAACCGCAAAGTTGCACATTATGCGAAATCTTTCAAATTCATTGAAGCGTTTTGTCGCCCATACATACACACATTCCTATCCTGTCATCAGCCACTGTAGAACCACTCAAGTTGAGGTGTTGGAGTACAAAAATTCGTGAACGGTAGCAGTGCTTCGTCCTTTGGTGGAACGAATCGCAAGTCCTCAACCGATGCAGTGAAAATTTTGATCTGATTAAGTATGAATGGCAAAGGTGCCACACGTTCCGACAGTGTCGTCGGCCTACTCCAAGCTTCCGTCAAGTATCTCCTATTTACCATCACTTAGGTCTATGGTCAGTCAATAGTTCGGTCACAATGAAATTGAACTGGAAGAACGAAACAGGGCATCGTGACGAACTGCAACGACTTCAAGTAACTGGTCGATTGCGTAAACGTATTTCTGAACAGTGATAAAAAAACATTCATAAAATTTTATGTAAAATTGGTTGATTAAAAGCATTCAAGTAAATTACAAGGTAAAATAAACAGAAAACCAAACGTTTCATGCTTTTCTCTCTTTTTTTTGGGGGGGGGGGGGATTATTCACCATAATGGGATGAACAGCAGACGGGGCAAGTCCCATAATCACAAGGAACTGCTATTCAGTGATGGAAATCGGTCACCTAAGTCCCGGAGTGGCGAACCATACAGGCCCCACCAGAATAGATGTGGTATTGAATCGGAAAACAGCAAATTTGCCTGCCATCAAAGTTGAGTGGCGGTGGCGGGGCTCAAACCTCGGACCACGCCGGTGGCAGCGACTAAACCACTGCGCCACCACCACCTTAGGTTAAGAAAAGGAGGCGAATATTCCATGAAAATGACAAAACATCAGCAAAGCATACAATGGACATACATGAACCGGGGTGAAATTGAGTGAAAGTATGAGATGATACAAGGTCGAAGCAACTTCCGTGCTGATCCGCAATTTGAACAGCGTCGTGCTTTGAGTATAGTGATCTAGTTCTTCCCGGGGTAAGAAGTTGTTGATCAGAGTCACCACACGATGATTTCCTGCAGATTACATGGAAGAGAATGTAGAGGTGGATGTAGCAGATCAATTACTTGCCTACCAACAAACGAAGCCATTTGACATGCAGTCCGGCCTAGTTTGTTCGTGTAATTGCTTCGTGCACCATGTTGCAACAGTAATTTCGTGACTTCCATATGACCTGAAATGAATGGAGCGCGAATGGATTACTGCAACACACCAGAGAAAAAAATACCTGCTAGAGCAGCAAACATTAGTGACGTATACCCCTGTTTGTGGTGTCTGGAGTTGACATCTGCACCGTTCTTTAATAGATATTCCACAACTTCTCGATTTCCTTTGAAGCAAGCTTGATCTAGAGGGGTCATGCCTTCCTGTACACGAGGGGATAAGTTAACTATTCACCCAAATGAACTGAGAACCGAGTACCTCGTTTACCGAATTCACCAGGCTTTTATCCAGGGAAAGTAATGCGCGGGCCTTCTCGAATTCGCCTAAAATGAATCCTATTAGGAAGAAAACAGCGGGTTGACCAACCAGAGCAGATAGCATTGTGAAACTCCTTTACAGAAGCCATCACCAAAGGCAGTGAGCTGAGAAGAAAAACACAGTAACAAATACACGATACATAAAAAGAACAAGGCTAATTAGAATGAGAAAGTGATCCATACACATATTCCTTATCACCCACATTTTGTGTGGTGAACAGCAAACTGGGTGAACCCCGTAGTCGCGAAGACCTGCTATTCTGTATATATATTATATAGTTCACACATATCTGACGCCAGACTGCGCACTCAAAAAAAAAACCGCGGTACAATAATCTTTATAAAAAAGAAAAACTTTCCGTGATTTGTATATGGGCTGAATAATGCTAAGTTGCCCAGGCCAAGGCAAGTGAATTTCCTCTAAGAATTCACAACAGGAGCATTCGGCTAGCCAAAGCCTGACCCGCAAGGCAGCAGGGCGGTGTGAACACCGTAATCTATTGCGGGCCGGTGTCCACGTCATCGGATCACACACCCTTTGGACGGAGTAAAACGTCCAAGGTGTCCAATACACCTTGGTGTCCAATCGAGCCGGTGACCACTGCCACGCCGAGGGTGTGGACGAGTGCGGTTCTTACGCCTCTTCTTGGTTGGCTTGGAATCAGGCTTTTGGCCAACTCCCTTAGGTGAACCGACCTGGTTATAGCCCGGGATGTTGGCTTTTCGTCCTCTCACTTTGGTGGGAAAACACCTCCACCACGAGAAGGTAGTGAGTACGGCTTCCTCAACAGAGGCTGTTAGAGACGCTTGGTTGTGTGGGAGCATTTTGCGAGATGCAAGGGAAGGGTGAACAGCGCGCAACCCTATACACCCACCAGCGACCATACTGAAGATTGCGGAGGCATACATAGGACGGCGGGAAGCTTGAGCTGCATGTAAGATGAGCACAGAGTCAGAATACCGCGGAAGATGAAGCAGTGAATCACAAAGGCCAACTCACGGAATACGTACCTCTGTATTTCAAAATTAGCCAAAACGCGTGAAGAACCACCGCGGGAGAAACATAGTGGGTTTCGTGATGGGCGCGGATGTGTTAATCAAATCACAGCGCTTGACTAGCACACTGTACATCGACACACGTTCCAAAAGCTAATTATGACTAAGTCTTATCGATTTTCGAGGGTTGTTTGATTTAATTCATGGGTCCGAGCTACAGGTCATGCCCTACAAAACATGCTCTGCAATACACCCCTGTGGGAAAACAAAGTTTCTGATCTACAACGAGCTGAAAATATCGTTCAACTCCGTGTGTGCTTTGGCCCACACAATGAGAAGTTCTTTTTCATTTGTGGAAACTAATAAGGGAAATAGTGGCTAAACGGTACAACAAAGGCCGGATGGCGTTCACCAACAGTAGCGCCGAGCTTAGTGGATTAAACAAAAGCTTTGTCCGAATCCTGCACGTATACCTCTACCTTGTCACCTGGTGTATCAGTGACCGCGACCACAACATAATTAACAGGTGACTGACCTTTCTGTCATTTGAAGTACTTCATCCTAAATCCTCAAAATAGTCCGGAGTGGATTGAGACTATGCATTCTGTCTTTTCGCCTCCTGGAGACAGTGGCAGAATTAGAGTATGCCGATGATATAGCCTTACTGGGTGACAACGCATCAACGATTCAAGAGTAGTTGAACCGTTTGGCAATTGAGATTACTCGCTATGGTATGTCCTTTGCACTTTCAAAGTGAAAAGTGTTGTTGCAAGATTGGCAGGAACTAATTCCTGCAGTTTCGTTGGGCAGTGACACCCTGGAAGTAGTCGAAAGCTTTGTCTACCTCGGAATTTGCATAACGGCTGGCGGTGTGGGCGAGATCTCTCAACGCGCGATCAAAGGTAGATTAGCGTTTGCTAATCTGCGACATTTTTGGCGCCTGCATGACATATCCCTTTCACTGAAAGGGCGTTTATTGCGCAACGGTACGCATCGTGTTGCTCTATGGCTGCGAAATCTGGCCTCTCCGAGCGAATTACGTCCAACGACTATCCGTCTTCGACAACCGTTGTCTGCGCAACATCGCCCGGGTGTGGTGAATGATTGGGAAATGTAGCAAACTGCAGATAACGTTCCTTTCGATGGTGTACCACCAGAAAAATAAAATGCCACTTGGCGTGCGTTTTTCGTGCGAAAGAAAGCCCGATTGTGTTAGCAGGGTTTTCAGAACAAATGAATGAACGTTATCACGGCGATTATTCTGTATTATTTATCTTCATCTTCAAGTTTAGAAGGCAGAGGGGCTGAGCCCCGAATGAGCCTCATCACCGCCGGTACCCATAGCAACCCGCTCAGCGGTCTGCAAGCTGACACCGTCTCACCAAGTGCTCGTCGCGTCTCGTTCTGTTCCTTCACCACCTCCGACGGGAGTGAATTCCAGAGGGAAGTCGCCCTCCGGGAAAGGCGATAGACCAAAGGAAGCCCCGTCGACTACAGCTTCCGGAGGGTGAGTCTGTGGCCGAGCGTCCAGCCGCATTTTCGTAGTGGAAACATAGCACGTAGTTCCGGTCCCAGATCGCCACGCAGAATCTTCCACATGTAGATCAGATCCCCGCTGAATATCCTGTAGCTAACCGGGCAGATTTTAAGTGCCTGGAGCCGACCTTCAAAGCTAGTTCCGTGAAGTCCCGCAACTAGGCGACTGGTGCAGCGCTGTACCCGTCCCAATTTGGCCATTTCGGAAAGCTTGCAGGGGTATGCAGCAGGTCCACCGTGTTCAAGTCGGGGGCGAACATGGGAGATGAACAAATTCTCGATGGTCGTGAACGACAGGCCGCCAAACGATCGACGGATGGCGCCTAGTATGCTCCTTGCCGCAAAACATGCTCAGCTTCTCCAAAAACTGTCCGTGTGGCACGTTGTCGACGGCCTTGCTGAAATCAATAAAGATGACGTCTGTTTCGTCGGCGATGGCCTGGGAAGACGCCCACTGCTCCGGAGCAAGTACGAGATAAAGCGATATAGTCAATCGAAGACGCCCCAGCTAACACCATGGCGGAGGCGATTGATCGAGCAACGAGGAAGGAGAACTACAGCAACCACAGAGCCCCCGTCATCCCAAGCGAACCGAGAAGCCTAGAGCACCGGCAACGTGAACGTCCCCAGAACCACGGTAGACAATTCGGCGGATGGAACACAAAATACCGGCACCGGGACAGAGGCAAGAACGGGAACGACGAACAACTACAAGGATGTTACATTAGCAGTCCCAAA